TAGATCTAGGATTCAAGGCTACTACATTTGGTCTCGTAGTATGCCTAAAATAGTAGGTAGGCCCCTTCTTTTCAGGGATCCTAAATCCTACTTATCTGCGTCACAGGATGACGCCACTTCCATCTTTTCTCTCATGCATGTGATCGAGTGTTTGATTTCTTTTCTCCAGTTTCTGTTTAGTGCCCTAGAGCCTCCGAATGTTGGTGTGAATCACGCATGTTGGTTGAGCCCCTTGAGCCATTTCTTTCCTTTTGGATAGGACTTCCTAATATGTACCATTGTGCCAATCCCATTTTAGGAAGGATAATGTATGATCCTTAATCGAGAGTTTTTTAGGGCTCCGGTCTGGGATGTAATTAACCACGGGGGCTTGCGCCCGTGAGAAACTCGATCCCACATCTACTAAACCCCATTCGAGCTATCGTATCGGGTGGGGGAAACCCGTGACTAGGTCGTGTATATTGCTACCCATCGAGGTGTGTTGGCGACAGCCTCTATCCCCGATGGTTAGTCGTATGCACGATCCAATCTGCCTTTCCATCGACTTGTTCGTGTCGAGTGTAGAGGCCTACGATCGTTTTGTCCTACGGGATAGTGCAGCCGTACCCTCTGCGTTCGTACCCACAAGCGGTGCTCTTTCGGAGGTCAACACATATGTTAGACTTATATATTCTACAAATACTCCCATTTAGGGAGGGAGAGGATATAAAATGAATGAGTAAGCTTTACCCTTCTATTAATTAAAAGTTCATTAATTATTTTGGAGTGTTTAGCTGCTTGAAATGCTAAAAAAGGATTGTAGGTCCTATCAATTGTGCACTCCTTGAGGTGCCACCAAAAATCTTTAAACCTACGAACCACAACGTTGATGACCGTCTAATCCAAATCATTGTCGATTCCTTTAAGTTGCATGAAATCCGTGTTCACCGTCAATATGATTTTCTATATATGCAATTTTTTTGCATCATGCCTGCCTCAAGACCTTTGTCATTCGATTCATGATCTATTCCCAAGTTTTTTTTGATAAGCTATTCATTTTTAGTGATTTTCTCTATCCACTAAAATCAAATAGCTTCAAGAATTTTAGCAAGATGCTGGCACTGTTTCCTAATAATCATAGTTCTAAATTCTATTTAGTCTCCTATCACCATATGCCCAAATCCCCTCCTAAATCATGCTGCAAACTCACATTTTAGCCTTGTTAATAATTCTATCTAAATATTGCATTCTATGTTTCCAACAGATTTGTCGATCCTACAACTATATCACTATCTTGGTAATCCAAGGGACTTTCATGTTTCACTATATCATTTCAAAGCTTGGCCTCATTCAAATCCATCTATGGCTCCAAAAAAACTTAAACTATCATCCTCTTTCAAATTATTCCCTTTCAAGATCTTCAATTCTTTGGGACATCCATTCAAGATTTGTTTAAGTCTTTTGTAGCGAACTCTCCTTCAATCGAATGTAGTTTACACCACCTTCAAGAACATCACAATGCAAGCAACATTAGCTACACTACAGGAAAAACAGTGAAAACCGGCGGTTTCCGCCGGTAAACCGCCGGATATAGACGTGAACCGTCGGTTTTCCGGCGGTTTTAATCGACGGTGATAAGTAATTTAGAATTGTAGAATTTAAATGTTATGTAATTTTTATTACTGCTTAGAAATGATATTGTATTTTGCCACCTTGTCTTTTATTAACTGCTTCATTAACTGCTTTATTAACTGCTTCTCGTAATTCATTACCTGCTTCATTAACTGCTTCATTAACTGCTTTATTAACTGCTTCTCGTAATTCATTACCTGCTTCTTAGTTTATTTTATGGGCATCACGGTGTAAATGTCCCGAGGGTTGTTGTGCCATAATTTATTTTTTTGTATTTTTCTATAAATAGTCTGTTTGTATTATTAGCCGAAGAGTTCAACCACGTAAGAAAAATTCAAACTTTAAAGTGTCTTTATGAAATTTCCTTAGGCATGACAACTAAATGAATTCAGGAAACGGTAGATCCACTTCTTTAGAGTATTTTCGTCAGTGTTTGTGGAAGCAATTCTGTAAGTTCAAGGAGGAGCATAGAGGAGATGTTGAACCATTTGGTGATATATTTTATTCTGTATTTTCTCTTTTGTATGCTATTAATGAAAATGAGTTTGCTCCAATCACTATAGGAAAAACAGTGAAAACCGGCGGTTTGAACCGGCGGTTTAGAGGCCGTCGGTATTACCGACGGCTACGCCGGCGGTTACGCCGTCGGACGATAACGACGGCTTAATCGACGGCTTAGCTACGATAAACCGTCGGTAATACCGACGGTTTCTAAACCGCCGGTAAACCGCCGGATATAGACGTGAACCGTCGGTTTTCCGGCGGTTTTAGTCGACGGTGATAAGTGATTTTTTACCGGCGGTTTAAACCGCCGGAAAACCGCCGGTAAAAGCCCTAATACGAGCCCCCTCGCTCCGCTCATTTCATTTTCCCTGTTTCCTTCTCTCTCTCGGCCGCTCGCTCATATCGCTCCTCCGCTCGTCCGATCAGCCCCCGACGAAGGAACTCCGGCCTCCGACCCCATTCCGACCGCCGCCGACCCCTGTCCGACCGCCGCCATCCCCAGTCCGACCGCCGCCGACCCCTTTACTCCGACGCCCGACCGCCGACCGTTTCCGACCCCAAACAAACCGATTTCTCTTTTAAGGTTAATTTTAATGGTTTTTCTTTGATTATTTGTTGATATTATCTTGTTAGTTAATGTTTTATACTTTAAAAATGTGGGAGAGAGTTATGGTGCATATATAGGTTTAGGTTTGCTTGGATTACTTGGATCTTATTTTCTCTTATCCGGCGCTTGTTTTTAACATATGATGTCGTTTTTATTAAGTTAGACCTCACCATTTTTTTTTCTTATGAATTTTTTAGATAAAAAATGTTATATCTCATATGAGTTATTATAATTTATTGATATATGTGTTTGCAGTATTATTGCTCTGTATTAAAATGATCAAACTCGGAAGGTGGTTTGATCAAATGTTTTCCTATTTCAGTTGAATTATATCAAGGATCAGACTTAAGCTCATATCTTAATATTAGTGATCGAATCATTAATAAGAGCATGTGTTTTTAATAGAGGGGATGCTGTCAATTTTTTTTTTCAGGTGCTACAGGTTTCCGGCGGCTAACCGGCGGTTTGGCCGCCGGAAACTACGATACCGGACGGGTAAGATATAGCCGCCGGTGTTATTATTAAACCGCCGGTGAATACCGGCGGCTTACCGACGGTCACCGGCGGTTCTACGATGGACGCACGACGGTTTAAACCGTCGGTAATACCGACGGCTATAACCGCCGTCAACCGCCGGTAAGTTACCGGCGGTCTAACGGCGCCGTCCGGCGGTCTAATGAACCAGACGACGCCAGGTTTAACCGCCGGAACACCGCCGGTACTCTGACCGACGGTTTTCCGGCGGTTACATTACCGGCGGCCAAACCGCCGAAAGACCGACGGTTGAAATTCCGGTGATCACCGGCGGTATGGGCCGCCGGAAAACCGCCGCAAAAATAAACCGCCGGTAAAAGGCCGTCGGAATTTGTTTCCTACGCCGTTTTTACCGGCGGTCACTGAACCGCCGTTAGACCGCCGGTAATTTGTCAAACCGCCGGTAATTTTACACTAACCGCCGGAAAAAACCGCCGGTTTTCACTGTTTTTCCTGTAGTGCTACACATTGTCCCGATAAATCCTCATTGTCCTTGCAAGTCAATCAATTCGTTGTCTCTAACCGATATTTGAATAATGGAAATATCAAGAAATCAACCCATCCCTTTATCATTTATGACACACTAATGAGATCATATTTCTATCCACATTGATGTGCACTTAGGGGAATATGCACTTCTGCATCCTATCTGAGCATACCAAATTAAACAATATAGAAAAGCCCATAATTTATTAATGGAGGACGACAAATGTTTGATTGGTTATTGTTATGCAAGGCTCAACCATAAGGATGATACAATAGCATTTTCTTTTGTGATGTCGAGGATGCAACCTTAGACTAATGAATCTAAAAAGAAAGCCTTGAAGAGCATGTTCAACACTAAAAATGGAATGTACCTACAATAATAAAAGATGAAATGATGGAGGACATCTTGTTTCATCACAACAAAGTCTAACACAATTTCAAAGATAAGAACTTCTAGTTAGCGACGATGTTTTGTACTCAGGGAATTTTGGATGTCAAAATTATAACAATCCTTTATAAAATGTTGGTTGACAATATTCTTAATGATTATATATATGTGCAAGTGTCAATCATCGACTCACTCAAAGCACGCATTTTGTTTCTTAAATTTCCATTGGTGAACTTTTTTTATTTTTGCGACTCAATTGTTGTTCTATTATAAAAGAAGAATACATTAAAGAATGGCTGGTCGCGTCTTCTATTGTATCAACTTGGAGTTCTATTTTGAGTTCAAGGTCATTGTGGGAGGACTAGTGTTGTGATCCTACAAATCACTACGGCTTGTTAATTTGTTAGTATATGTTAGCCTCGTATTCTTTCTATAAAATACCGACTAAAATGCGGTAGAATTATTTTCAGCTAAGCGCCTAAGCTCATTAAAAAAATTTCTCCTTAAAGGAGAACTTTAGATGTTAATTCATATATATTATTATCCCAACAGTACAGATAAAGCCGTCGGGCTCATAAAAATGACAAAACAATCTTGACTGAATATCAAATTCTTTTAATTATTTTAAACTAACTCAAAAGTTGTGACAAGTAATATATATATATATATATATATGATTATAACTTAAGCTTATGCACTTTTATTTTGCAACGATCATAGTTTGCTTATAGTACATATTTTTTTGGCATATGTTGGTTGGCTAATTATAGTTCATACATCAGCTGTTAGACAAAAACAAAAGAATAGGAATAATAATAATAATAATAATAATAACATTTTTGTTAGACTTTATCGAGTATGCCTACTTACCGAATGTTACATTTGTTGTTGCAGGAATATCAGTTACCATCCTATAAAAACAAAAAAAATTACTCATGCATTAGCAAGCAATTCAATCAACAAATACTACTTAAATTTTAAGTTAATCTTGTTTTAAATTAATATGATTATATTACTGTTAAATTTTTTTAATAAAGATCAAGTTTTTATGTGAGACAATTTTTTTATTACTTTCTAAAGCAATTTTCTAATACAAAATTTTTTTGTTTAAAAAAAATTTATACAGAAAAATTGCTTTAAGAAGCAGTAAGAAAGATGTCCTAAATGAAGCCTAAGTATTTAATCATATTTTTAATGAACTAAAAATATAATTTAACATTTTAGTAATGAAATATAAATCACTAGACAAGAAAAAAGAAAGTTAGCTTACATGAACAGATTAAGGACTTGTGCCTAGAACGTACCAGTGTAAATACTCTCTCAAAGTTGGATTGCTTGGATTTGGAGCATCCAGGTTTACCATTACCTACATAGATTATGAAGACTGATGAAACTTAATACAGTGAATTTTTTTTTTCTCCACAAAAAGTACACTTAATCAATTAAAAAGAATAAATAAAACTATGTATTCAAGCCTGGACAAAAAATCATAATATATTCAATATATCATTGAGAAGAAAACTGAAACAAAACATAATGAATGCGTGAGCTATGTGAAGATTAGTAAAATTACAAGTGTGTAGAAAACACGGAAGTCATCTCCTCCGACTTCAACCATTGGTCGATTTAAGATAGCAGAAGGCCGTAAATCACAACCATTAATGACTGGCCTGTTGTTGTATGTAATTCGTAGTGGCACCGACAGATTAAATGGACCAAGAATATCACCTATTGTACTGATCAGAGAAGAAGATTCATTGGACATGTTGGTAATTAAAGGGAAATGTATTGAAGAAAATTGAAGAGGATGAAGTGATGGAAGTTGAGAAGGAAGGAGCGAGTGGCTAGTTATGCTTATATAGAATCTTCTTAAAGATCACTGCACGGTAAAAGATTATTCAGAATATCCTGAATGAAAAGTTGTCTATGACAGAACGTAAAACGGGTGATCTTAATATCTCACAACATAATTCTGAGCGTTTGATGAGATATCCGTTTCATTTTTATAGGACAACAAATTATCTTGTAAATATATTCACCGTAGGATTATTATTTTTTGAAATAGTTTGATTAAACATCGTCATATTGTTATTTATATTTAACTTAAAAAGTGTGAGCAAAAACAATTTTTATTCTTAGCCATAGTGTTTCGATAGTCTGACTAATTTTTGTGTGATTAAAAATGTTTGTTAATAAAGCTAATTATTTATCATAATTTTAATAAGAAGGCTTGATTAATTTTTTTAGTTACACAATTAGTAATTCCATTTCTTTAATAAATATGATTATAATTAATTTTAAATGTGCTGTTAAAAATATTGCTTGTTGTCACAATTTCAGAGGAATAATTCATTATGTTTAATAATATTCAAATGAAGAATGTTTTTGCTCAAATTGGTTAATTAGCATTTAAACTGTAAAGTATATTGTAAATTATTTTGGCCGGTCTGATGAAGCATCCAGAGTTAGCTAACATATAGAGAAAAGTTCTGCATGAAGGTTCTCAGAATCTTTTTTTATTATTATTATATGCATGCGGGGACCCATCATACTGATCCATTTGGATGGAATCATAAAGCAGAGTATGCTGATAAATCAACTATCGAATTTCCTAAATGCAGAGAGATTCGTAGTGGATTTGAGTGCTGGACCAAAGCATATTTCTGATGTTCATGGATTTGAACATTCGGCCATTAGTTTCTATGGATGGGAATCTTCCTTTTTTTTTTTGGCAAGATTTCGATTGTTATAAGTTCGCATTTAGCAACGGCCCAACGTTAACCAAATTCATGTTTGTTTACCTGAACTTGCACTTAAATGTCTAATGCACTACAGATGCCCTAACTTTAACCTGTAGAAAAATAAAAAACTTTTGTAATACGAAGAATATGACTTGCGCTTGAAAATTTGGTTCCGCTAGGCTCAACTAGTGCATGCAAATGTGGTGATCCAGCAGCCACGTGAACTGGTGAAAATAGCAACGTGTGGTGGCTGGTAAATATGTAAAAGCTAATGGATCTCACTTTCACAGATGAGATTAAAAATTAATTATATGGTAGATTTTGAATAGAACTGTGCCCTGATCAAGTTAAAAACTTGTCCTAAAGAGAAGTGATGCCGCTCTGACCAACTCCTATTGCTAAAAAATATACTAATGATTGAGCCAAAAATGCAATGAACAACTTCTTAAACTCATAGCTTTCTTTGTCGTCTTATATTTCTTTGCAATCATATATGGTTTTATTGTTTTATCTCTTTTGATCATCACAGTGTGGTTGCCCGAGACCGTGAGTTCAGTCTTCTATATGAGTGCATCATTAGGATTATGATGAGAATAACAGCCTTCAAACTTGAACACATCTTAGTGCTTGATTCATCTTCTCAAACACATATATGTAAGAATTAAAGTGCATCTGCAAGAGAATTAAAGGTGAGCGCATCTTATTCTCATTTTGTCTGTAGTCGATACTTTGTCTTTGACATCGATGTGCTTTCTCTCCAACAAAACATCGACACATTATAACTCACAACTCTTGTGTCTTTTTTTCTTCAGTTCTACTATTTAGATGTTGATTTCCTTCTTAGGATTTTGGTACTTCTTTTTAATCCCAAGTTCTTTTCAAATCTATTATTATTTGAGTTAATTTATATCAAATAGTTATATACTAATTTAAAATTTATTCAATGTAAAGTATGGCACATTCAAGTGCCTTCAAAAATTTTACTGAAGCTTAAAGAAGACAATTAAAAATATTTGTGAAGCATGCAACTTATCAATTTCAAATTTATTAAAATTTGAAAAATAAATGAAGACACTTTCATTACAATTTATATGTATGTAAGAAAAAAAAATTCAATTTCAAAATAAGTGTCAAAATAAAATAATCCTCATATTAAACACTTAACTTCTCTCATTAGATGAGATTGCAACTTCAAGAAGAGATTAATTTTTCATAGCTTCCACCTTACAAAACATCATGCTAGCATAAACAATAATTATTTTGATGGAATATAATAGCAGTGCAAGAAGAGTAAAAAGAAAAAAAAATAAAAATAAAAAAACATTAGTGATTTATCCTGGTTAGACCATTCGGCTTACGTCCCCTCCCCATGTCCTCTATTGGAGAATTTTACTAACCATCTCAGTCCTTTTTCTCCCAACAAGACAAAGAAGTCTATCTTCATCACAAGTATTAGAAAATTCTTATACAACATTTACTTTCAAAAATCATATCAACTTTAGCCCCACCGGCTAGATTTATAGTACAACAAAGAACATTACATGATTACAATGATTTCTTCAACCAAATCTCAAAAAGCTCTTGAACCAGAAGCTTCAGATTCTCAAATCAGATGTATGAAAGGATAAGATTTGGGGAAAAATTAATGGTACTACAAACTCTTAGAAGAATCTGACTAAAGAATATCAGAAAACTCAGAGGAAAAGAGAAGTTGCAATGAAAAATTCTTTCTCATGAAGAGTCTTTGAGTTTCTAGCAGCATCTTTCTCCAAACATCACATCTTAGGATTTTTCAGTGAAGCATATTTATATGGTGGTTTCGATAGAAATTCTAAAATGGCTGGTTATTAATTAAGTTAGCCTAATCGTATAGTCCAATCCAAGAGTCATATAGTGCGATTAGTATAATTGGCCTCAAACTCTACAAAATCGTATATATTTTGTCAAATTATATGATTGAAACAACATGAATATGATATTTAGCCAACTTTAGAAAAATCATTCTCAATTTGATCATCCTGTACGATCATATTCATATATTTTAATATCTTCCTCGATTTAACTTTTATTTAATATTTTCCTTGATTCTTGGATCTTGATTAAGAAAATTGTATATGTAATCATACTATTTGATATGTACTGGAAAATATATTTAGTTTAATTTTGAATTTACCCATTTATGGAATGAACGTATGATGTTTATTAAATTTTGAAAAATAAATGAAGACACTTTCAATACAATATTTATGCAAGTAGGAAAAAAATTCATTTTCAAAACAAGTTTCAAAATAAAACAAGTCTTACTCATATTAAACACTTAACTTGTCTCATCAGATGAGATTCCAACTTCAAGAATAGATTAATTTTTCATAGCTTTCACATTACAAAACATTATGATAGCATAAACAATAATTATTTTCATAGAATATAATATTAGTTGAAGAAGAATAAAAAGAAAAAAATATATTAATTTATCATGTTTAGACCTATTGGCTTACTTCCCTCTGCATGTCCTTTATTGGAGAATTTTATTATCCATCTCTATCATTTTGCTCCTCACAAGGCAAAGAAGCCTCTCTTCTTCACAAGTATTACATAATTCTTATAAAACTTTTATTCTCGAAAAGTATATCGACATTACCCGCACTAGCTAGATTCATAGTACAACAATGAACATCATAGGATTACAACGATTTTTATGACCAAATCTCAAAAAGCTCTAGAACTAGAAGCATCAGATTCTCACATCAGATGTTTGAAAGGATATGATTTGGAGAACAATTAATAGTACTATAAACTCTAAGAAGAATATCACTAAAAAAATACCAAAAACTCGGAGGAAAATATATGTTGCAAAGAAAAATTCTTTCTCCTAAAGTCTCTTCGAGTTTATAGTAGCATCTTTCTCCAAAAGTCACATCATAGTATTTTTAGTGAAATATATTGATTTGGTTGTTTCAATAGAATTTATAAAATTGATGGTTATTAAATAAGTAAGCCTAATCGTTTAGTCTGATCCAAGAGTCAAATAATGCGATTAGTATAATGGCCTCAAACTCTAAAAAATCGTATATATTTTGTCAATTTACATGATTGAAACAATATGATTATGGCATTTAGCCAACTTCAGAAAGAAACCATTCTGAATTTGATCATCATGTTCAATAATATTCATATAGCTTAATATCTTATGGGATTTAACTTTTAATTAATAATTTCCTTGATTCTTGGATCTTAATTAAGAAACTTGCATATGTAACCGTACTATTTGATATGAAATGTACAACATTTAGTTTAATTTTGAATTTACCCATTTAAGGAAAAAATATATGAAGTTTATTAAATTTTGAAAAAAAAAGAAGCAAAATATATGCAAATAAGAAAAAAAATTTCATTTTCAAAACAAGTTTCAAAATAAATTAAGTCTTCCTCATATTAAACACTTAACTAGTCTCATCATATGAGATTGCAACTTTAAGAAGAGATTAATTTTTCAAAGCTTTCACATTACAAAACATCATGACAGCATATACAATTATTATTTTCATGGAATATAATAACAGTGCAAGAAGAATAAAAAGATAAAAAGTAAAAATAACAAACATTACTGATTTATCGGGGTTTGACCTATCGGCTTACGTCCCCTCCCCATATCCATTATTGAAGAATTTTACTATCCATCTCTATCATTTGCTCCCAACAAGGCAAAGAAGCCTCTCTTCTTTATAAGTATTAGAAAATTCTTATATAACTTTTATTCTTGAAAAACATATCAAAATTAGCCCCACCAGCTCGATTCATAGTACAATAAAGAACATTACATGATTACAATGACTTCTACAACCAAATCTAAAAAAGCTCTTGAACTACAAGGTTCAGACTCTCAAATTAGATGTTTGAAAGGATATAATTTGGGGAACAATTAATGGTACTGCAAACTCACAGAAGAATCTCGCTAAAAAAATATTAGAAAACTCAGAGAGAAAGAGAAGTTGCAACGAAAAAATTTCTTTCTCCTCAAGTTTCTGATAACATCTTTCTACAAAAGTCACATCTTAGGATTTTTAGTGAAGCACATTGATATGGTGGTTTCAATAGAAATTCTAAAATGGATGGTTATTAAATAAGTCAGCCTAATCATGTAGTCCGATCCAAAAGTCATATAATGTGATCAGTATAATTGGCCTCAAACTCAAAAACATTGTATATATTTTGTCAAATTACATCATTGAAACA